CATCTCACAGAAGGATTTATTTCAAACACTCGACCGACGTTATGAAGTGAGTTTGGAGTAAAAATATGTTATTAAATGTGGTATTTTCAAATGCTTTCAGATGGAGCAGCATTTACTTCACAGAGCCGTAGTTCACTGAGAAGCTATGCAAACAGCTGTCATTATCGCGAACGATTTCTTCGATTTCAGAATCGCGCAATAAAATCGTCTGCGATATTTTTGCGTAACTTGTCAGTGAACTACGGCTATGTGTAGTAAATTCTGCTCCATCTGAAAGCACGTGATGATAATTTCCTGCTGATTACAGAATCGGCTTTTTTTAACAAAATGCGCATGACAATCGCATTCGATTAATCGTGCAGCCCTAGTAGAAACTTTCAGTAGATACTCCCCTCACCACACATGATCTTTCACTTCAGGAAGTGCTTCTCATAAAAGTCCTGTGCATACACTATATTAAAATAATACATTTTGCAACAAATCTTTTTTTTAATACATACCTAAAAATACCTCATTAGAGAACAGTGACATTGTCGACAAGTTTCGAAATCTAAATAGTTACATTTTACAGTTTACAGTTAAAAGCATTTTAAAACATATTTTCTATGAGTTTGTCCATTGAATGTTTAGCCATCTAAAAGTGATTTACAGCATCTGTCACCCCATAACTTTATTATGAATCAACATCCAAGTAATCCAACAGCATTTAACATCAAATTTCAAATAACAACAATGCCAATCTAGGCAATGTTGTTAGCTATGCTCATAGGTAGATGCTAACTAAATTAATAAATTCTTCCAAACATTATGTAACAAAATGCTACTCAACTGGCCACAAGCAAGGTATAAAGAATAAGAATAACTCACTGTCATTTCTTTCCTAAATGCCACATGCAAGGATTGCTAAGGACCAGCCAGCGGCCCTGCCAGTGTGTGTCTGTCAACTGCAAACAAGACTTCCTGCTATAAAGGTGTAAACATCCTGTTTATAGTCCATTGTGAGATTACTTAAACCTAATTGTGCAAAAGGCTATAAAACTGTTAACAAACATTAATGTTAATGATTATGTATAATGTATAATGATTACAAGATTCACATCCGGCTACTTTTGACATCCAGTCAGTTTGAGTAGGCCTATATTTCTAATTTCCATGCTGTTGTAGATGTGAAGAAAAGGATTTCATATGATTTTATGACTTTTAAATGTGATCTAACTGCACCATAATCAGATGATGCCATATTTGAGATGTTTTGTCAACACTGCATGCATAATTAACAAAAAAAGCAAAAT